AGCCTACCCAGCATTCCTTGGATAGCTTAAGGCCTGGTGGCTCACAAGTTATTTTAGTAGTTTTGATTTATTCTGCACCAAATGTGAGATCTGGTAAGAAAGTGGGGGGTGAGGGTGAAAAACAAGACCATGACTCTTCTTTCCCTCTTCCCGGAAACTTGCCTCTTCGAATAATCTTCAGTGTGCCCTCCAGCAGAGCCGAAATCAGGCAGGACTCAGACTCCTTTCTTTCTCATCAAACCATAGAAATAGAATTCCTTCATTGAAACCTCAAAGCTTCCTTCTCTCCTTTGTGCCCCTCCCTCAGCTGAAGGAATGTTCCTCTGGCTTCCACACGAGCTGCTTGCTTTTCTGGGCAGGGGGAGGGGGTGAGGATCCGTGAACCAGGTGAACCTGAGATCATCTTCAGGAAAAGCACGTCTTCCTGGAGTTGAAAGATTGAGGCGCACACAGAGAACCTCCCTCACGAGTAGGAAGGTTCTTTACTCACAGGAAATTGGGCGAGGCTGAAGCCTTAATTCCTCCCAAGTTTATGGGTCCAGGTAAAACAAAATTCTGAACGGAGCATGCTGTGTCTCTTATCACCCCTTTCTATTAAAGAATGCCTAAAGATTGAGCAGTAGCCACATGGTTTGGGAACCCCATCTTTTCCTGGGCTAGGCACCTGTCGTTGCATTTCTGTAACTCCTACTTTAGCCCTGCCCCAGTGCTCAAGGAGTCATTTTTGCCCTGCATTCTGCAGCACCCTAGAGCAGCTCACCTCCTAACCATCCCACAGCTCCCTGGTCAGTGTGATGCTGGGAAAGTGTCCTGTGTGAGTGGCTGGAGGAGGCCCCTGCCCCCGGGTCTGCCATTGTCCTGACTTGTTCAGCCTCCCCCGCAGCTCCTGAAGAGAACCTGGTTTCCTCACCCTATTAGGCCCAAGCGTTGGGCTAAATAAGACCTTGGAATTCCTTCCTTGCATGGCTTCCCAGTCCGTCCTCTCCTTATTCTATGGCTTGCCATTCATCATTCTGGAAAGTTTTTCTTCCTGAAAACTGAATCCAAACACCTTTTAATGATTATATTCTGTTGCATCTTCTAACTTCAGGGACCAGCAGCACAAACACTGTGGGGGGACCAGTGAACAGCCAGGCCGCCCAGGCCCAGCCTGCCGCCCTAACGTCCAGCAAGAAGGGCACGTTCACAGATGACCTGCACAAGCTGGTGGACAACTGGGCCCGAGATGCCATGAATCTCTCGGGCAGGAGAGGGAGCCGAGGGCACATGAACTATGAGGTACGTCTTCGCTGTGGCCGTTTTCCTCATCTGTCAGTGTCGCTCGGCACATCAGCATCAGAGACGATGCAAACTGCCTAGGCTAGTGCTTACCCATTCCCTTCCATGACCTTCTTCAGTAGCTCAGTAATTGTAACACTTTTAGACAGGACAAAAATCACCCAGGTACCCTTTTATTTTTCCTTCCCTGAATCCTTCGCTCCCTCCCTATTGGTCGCCTCAGTTTTTTCCTTCAACACCCTGAACCACAGGCATGTGTGTGCACATACGCGACAGCTCCCACTTCCCATCAGAATGGGTATTGTCGCCCCTGTTTGGTAAGTGTATAGAACCACCCACTTCACATCCATGCATGTGACACCCATACCACACTTTACAATTAGTTGTTTTGTTTTCAGGGCCCTGGAATGGCAAGGAAGTTCTCCGCACCGGGTCAGCTGTGTGTCTCCATGACCTCAAACTTGGGTGGCTCTGCCCCCATCCCTGCAGCGTCAGCTACCTCTTTAGGTCACTTCACCAAGTCTATGTGCCCCCCACAGCAGTACGGTTTCCCAGCTCCCCCCTTTGGCGCTCAGTGGAGTGGAACAGGAGGCCCAGCACCACAGCCACTTGGCCAGTTCCAACCTGTGGGAACTGCCTCCTTACAGAATTTCAACATCAGCAATTTGCAGAAATCTATCAGCAACCCTCCAGGTTCCAACCTGCGGACCACTTAGACCTAGAGACTTAACCGAATAGATTTGGGGGCAGGAGGTGGAGTGAGAAGGGGGTGGGGGTGGGGTGGGGAAGTAGCCTATATACTAACTACTAGTGCTGCATTTAACTGGTTATTTCTTGCCAGAAAGGAATGTTTTTCATACTGCTTAGAGCCCTCAGGATGGCGATTCTTTCTCCTCCTTCCATTTATTGGAGTGGGACAAGAAGGAATGAGCAGCTTTCTTGTGATGGGGCAACTTCGAACTCTGCTTCCATGTTTACCCAACAGTAAGGGCTAGGGAAGAGAACGGCGCTTGTCAGAAAGCTACATGAGCACTCAAGGGAAAACCAAACCCCAGCTGCATTTTCAGGTGGGTGGAGCTCTTCACTTTGGATCCACCCCAAATCCCTTATTCCCTCTGTCTAAACCACAAGACAACAAGCATATCGGGCTCTCCCCCACCCTGTTCCCCATCCCACCCCACCCCAGCTTTTTTTTCTTGCTTTTCTCTCTTTGGAACCCAATGAAAAACGCCACGGGACTAGGTTTCCGCCCTTTCTTATGATAGGTCATTAGTGCTTTAAGCAAATGATATTAGCAGCTCCGACTGCGGCATTAGCAATTAGAAAAAACGTTCCCTGCGGACATGTAACTTTGCCATCAGTTTTGATGTGGAAACACTGTGATATATAAATGTTGTTGGACAACAGTAGTTTTAAGATGAAAATATGAAAGGTTTAAAAAGTTGAAAAAAAGCTAGCTCTGTCCTTTACTTATTGAGACACTTTAACTTTTTCCTTTGTATTTCCATTGTATTAGATAAATAAATGTGAATGTAAAATTGTATAAATTACTGTACTTGAATACTTCTGTTGTCCCAGTATTGCTTGCTGGATATTTTAGTGCCTTGGACTTCTATTGCTTCTGCCGTTGGCATCAACTTCTCAGCAGACCCCAGATCAGCAAAGGGCATGTGGGAGGAAATCCATGGTCCACAAGACCCCCAGCAGTGGGTTATTCCAAAGGGAAATTGAAAGAGTACTTTTTTTTTGTCATTTAACTATTTTGTCTAGAGCAGGTGAAAGATGAGCAAGGGTGAGAAGTTAAGTTGACAACAGTGGTTGAAAGCGGAAAGTTCTGTTTCAGGAACAGTGATGGGGGATGGGAGGGGTGTTGTCATCAAATTGGGCAATTTAAAAGATTAAGGGTGGTATGTGATAAGTGAATGAAAAAGACTACAGAATGGAAGAACAGACCTGTTTTGAAGATATGTGATGCCTGGCCAGTGGATGCCAGAAGCCTTCCTCATTTGAGCTGCGCTTAAACAGCCCTGGAAGAAATGGCTAAATATAAAGGGAAGGGAGTGGGGGCTGGTTTTGAAGTTGGGAAACCTGAGAGTGAAAAGTCACAGATGGAGAAAGTTGCTCTAAGAACTGTTTAGATGCTTTCTTCTTGTTGCAAATGTACCATGCATTTCTCAGCTTGGGGTACTATTTTTGTAGAAAGTGGACCCACATCTGAATTAAGCATTGGAAGAAAGAATGCTTATTCCTACTCCTTTCCTCTGTGATATCCAAGCGGTTGCAGGATCATACTCTATTTTGCCACCTTTATTTCTACAATTGCAACTGATATTCTCACCTTTCATATAAACAAATATTCCCCGTAAGTAATAACTGCAACCAACCAGTATTATTTAGTGCTAATGTAAGGGGCAGTTCTGTTCTTTTCAAAGCTTTCAGGAAATACTCTCCTAATTGGCTATGTTTGGGATCTCTGTTATCTGTGAAGATAGGGAAAGAAGGTGGGACTCTTAATTTTTTGGATGCTTCTTGAGTTGGGAAATTGACATATTTCCAACCTCTCAGCTCGCGGCACATCCCAGCAGTCACCACAGTAGGAAGAGCCCAGCTGGCTGTCCCATCCTGTCGTTCCTTATTAAGTTAGCCTAGTCCCCAAAGAGGAAAATGAAAGCGGAAGATATTAGGAAGGTAGAAATGAGAAGGGCAGGGGTTCCAAGCCCTGCTTCAAAACTGTTTACTTATCTGTTCTCTGCTTATAATTCTTGGGGAGATGATAAGAGAGGATAGAACAAAGAAGGTGCCAAGTGAATGAGAAACAGACCACCTAAGACAAATGAAACAATACCTTCTACCAGAGGAACGAGGGAACCAAATGCAGCACATTATTTCGTTATTTTGGTTTAATAATTTTGAGATGTCTTCACACACACACACAAAAAGTAAGAACTGGTTTTATTTACTGTTGATTTTTTTTTCCCTCCTGTGGATGAAATAACTGAAGCCTAGAGGAATGAACTAGTGCTACTGAACTGTTTAAATTATTTTTGTGTTAATAGTACACTTTGAGTATCTTTTTCCACATTAAAAAAAAGTCTTTCTGAATTTTAAGTATTTTCCTTACATTATTTAACAATGTACACTGTTAAAAAAAACAAAAAAAAAACAAACAAAAAACAAAACAAAAAAAAACTGAATTCAAACCTTGGGGGTTTCTCCGCAGCCGTTAATTGTACATTTTGCACTAACTCTGGGTGTTGCGCTTCTTGTAAGATTGCGCCTTGTGCTTCAGTTTGTTACCTTTGTAGACTTATTTAATGAAACCATTCAAATAAACCAAACTTGCTTTTGTTCAGTTGTTGGGTTTCATTTCCAGACAATTCCTTTTTCATGAGCTCATTAGCTCTGTTTTGTGTGCAATTTATAACTGGATTCCTAACTCCAGGAAATTTTTTTTATCAGCAACTCTCACTGGAACTAAAATTATGCTGAAGACAAGGAAGGTGAATTTGTTCTGAAGAGAATGATAAGGGTGTCAAAATCAAAAGCTGAATATATGACCGAACCTGTGCAGTAACAGGTGAGGTACAGGGGGTCAGAGTAGGCTGCTGCCTCTTCCGCAGGAGCAGGAATGGCAGACTCCTGCCTGTCCTGTGAGCTCCTTGCTGCAGGTTCCCTGCTCCACACAAATGGGTCTGTGATCCAAAAAAGCCACTGCTTCCAGATTAGATAAAAAGCACATCCCAGAATTCACCTTTATTAAAAAGTAAATTTGCAAGCTCATTATTTGGGGGAAAGAATTATGAAACATCTAGACATGATGAAGAAACAATTTATGTTAAGGTGGGTTGTATCTCACATCTGAAATGGGGAAATAGAAACAGCTACTTAGATTTTGTTACAAAGTGCAGATTTGTTTTGTGCTCTTGAAATGCCTTTTCTTTGGCCTTAGATCATTGTTTGCTCAATTAGAAAACAGTGCAGGATAGTAGCACCATAAATTTACAAGAGGGATTATCATAGGTGAAGATTACAGCCTGAATTGATGGAAACTGGTAAAATCACTGCAGGCCTTGTTCTCAGCATTAAAACACAGCGCCCTCCGGTGAGCTCAGCAACCTCCTGTAGGCATGTGGTGCTCAGGAATGTGGCTCCCGTGGGTTCAGAGCAGATGGCCACTGGTGATTCCTGAAAGTTCTGTTTATTAACATAATAGTTTAGGAATAAGTAATCAAGAGCCCAAGAAAAGGTATTTAATCTCCCCAAAGCCGCTGACGGCAGTGTGTGACAAGCTTTTTTAAAGGGCTTGTTTTCCATCCGCTGGGCTCTATCTGCAGGAGGCTCCAGGAGTCAAATCCTTTGGAAAAGTTCAGAATGAAGGTAAATCCTTGGAAATAAAGCTCACCCCCTAGGAGTAGTGAACAATTTCATGACCAAAAAGTTTTCTTAAGTCCCTCTGTGACAGTCCAGTCATGTGACCTGAGCCTGGTTAAGGTGGATCCAATTTCCTCTTCTTCGCATCCTGGTTCTCCCTATAGAAATCACAGTTTCCTATGGAAGAAAAAGTCGTTTAAATGTAGCTGCCATGATTTTAAAAAGAGACATAAACTCACAGCTAGTAATTTCTGAATTGTGTTAGTTAACGATCCTAATTTAAACAAAGCCCAAGAATGGAAACTATGAGGGCACATCCCTCTGTTAACTCTAGACCAGGTTGCAATAATAATTACGATGAGCCTACTTTTCCTAGGAAAAGCTCTTACTGCAGTCATACTTAAGCTTCCTGCTACTGTTAAGGACTGAAAAAGGGTTACACCTAGAGTCAGGACCCCAGAGGACAAGTTCTGGCTCTCAAACCAGTTACCTTCTTTTTCCTACATTGCTATTCCTCTGGCATGATTCTACCCAACTTCTTAAGTGGAATGTCACTCCTTGAACATTCATAGACCTCAACCCAGGTTCTCCCTTCGGTTTTTGTTCCTAAAACACTTTGCTACCTGTTACGTGTTGGTTAACGTTAGGAGTTTGAAGGTGCCAAGGACCAGGTTTTGCTTGTGGATTCTGGTGGCAAAGATTTTGTGCGGTCCTGTTCTGGGTCACCATCTGGTTCTTTGGGGCTAGTGTGGCAGGGGTCTGGTGTGGTTCTGGTTCTGTTTTAGATGAGGGCTTGACCTCGTCCCCTGCGTCTGCAAGCATAGTCCACATTTCAAGACTGTCTGCAAGGACAGAGATCACAGGAAAATGGAGCATCATCAAACCAGGAAGTGTTCCCAGACAGCCCTGGAAAAACAGGTCACAAGAAATCCCACGTCATGAGTGCCCCATGATGGTTTTTAGTGGCCCATGAAGCTTCTCAGATTAGGACCACAGAGAAGCTGAATATGTGCTATCAGTCAGAACTGCCATCAATCCATTTTGAGTCCTTTTTTCTAAAACGTCATGGGGCTATAAAACAGAAAGGATTTTTCTGCCTTTTAAAATGCATCTGTGCCTACCTACAGTATACAGCACAGTAACTTACAAGCATCCCATAGGTATTTACTGATTAATATGTACATTCCCTCAGCCCTACTGACCTGCAAGGGAGCCTTGCTCAGCAAGTGGTTTGGAGCCATCGGTTATGGACGCACTGTGCTTCTCCGGCAGCCCCTGCGGTGCGGCTACAGTTTACAGAGAAAGGACACACTCGTAGACGCACACAACCACAGAAGCACTAACCAAACTTAGGGGAACAGCCCCAAGGTGCAGCTGCCTAGGGCTCCACTGGCTCATAGCACAGCCAGTGGCAGAATTCAAGACTCCTAAGTCCCAGGCCTACCTAGAGATCTGAGATTAAGGATACTCCCTTCTTCTCACTAAATTGAGGGGAAAAAGTAAAGTTTATTTCTCCTCTAGCAGCAAAATAGAAGGGTTATCAGAAGACATCTGGTTTAGTCTTTACTTTTTAAAGCTATCATTTTGTTCCCAGAAAATCTTAAGTAGATTTTCAATATGTAAAACCAAAATAAATAATGACTGGTTGTCTGAATCAGGGCGGGGAGGGAGTCCTGGAGGACACTCGTCCCCCCCTCAGCCTGGGACTTCTGCAGTGGTTTGGAAGCTAGAGATCCAGAATAAGTCTTACTAAGAAAGCCCCCAGCACAGTAAGTTGGGGTTTTTTCCTACATTAATGTCAGCCTTTCATAGCTGAGCGGAACATTAATGAACCAGCCATGAAGCAAGTCTATGAATCTTCATAATGCTCAGAAGAAGCTGGGCAAAAGCCAGCTGGTCTGGGGTGAGCCCTTGCTGTTTGTACTCTGGGAAACACTCCAGACATAACCTGTGCCTTCCACTCCCACGGAATCTGGACTTTGAAAGACACTAATGTCCATAGAAAAGTAATTGCCAAAAGCCCTGTTCTCTCTACACACAACTTCACCTTATATTCTAAGATAGCTTCGGAAAGACTTCCTAATGCAGAGACAGCCAAAGTAATTGAAACAAAGCAAAGGTCTGTACCCTGAAATTTCTAGTTCCACATTCCTTCCCCCTCAAAACATCAGTGTCTCTAGAAATGGGGAAACACATCGCAGGATTTCACTAGTCTAATTTTTTGGACTTCTCTATCCTGTGACATGAGGGAAGTCTCACTGAGTTCTGGTTTGGACGTAACTGGACCGGCAGAGGATCAGGCTCCTTCCTCCTCCAGAGCGCCCCTTCCTGGGCCCTCTGCTCCCATCCTTCTCACACACCCTGATTCTTCTTTTCAACTGATGGAGCGTTGAGTTGAACTTGCTGCTGTTTCTCCATTTGCTCCCGGAACTGCTGCTGCAGCTGTTTCTGCCGGAGCTTCCGCTGGTAAGTGGCATCAGTCTCCACAGCAGAGGCCAGGCATCTGCATCAGAGAAGCAACAAGGTGGGAGGGCGTTCCTGAGCTAACTGAGTAAACAACACACCGTTCCCTAGGGAGCACAACCCACTTGCTGGCTCAGAAGGAAGAAATGGAGGTAACCCAGACCCCATGAGAAGGCAGGAGAGGAAAGAGGGAACTGAGGCCCCATACCGGGAGCTGCTGTCCTTCTCCCCCTGAATCACAATGTGGGCATCATCAGAGTGGCTTGGTCTGCAAGGGGAGGTCACCTCCTGCGGTTTGGGGGGTCCCTGGGCCATGTGCTGCCTGTAGCTGCTGTATCTGGCTTGTTCCACAGATGGTTCAAAATCTTGTCTCTTCGCTTTAGTTAAATCCACTTCAAGAGGCAACTAGTAAGGGAAGAAAGAGAGGAGGTAAATAACTTCAACTGCTCTTCCACTTCCGTTCTTTTCCCCTGTCTTACAGATCTAGATTCCTGGGAAATGGCTCCTGACAATCCTCTGCCCATCATTCCTTCCAGGTCCAGAGAAGCTGAGACAAGAGATCCAACACTTCCAGTAATATTTCTAATTATATGAAGTAGAGTGAAGGAATTTCATTTTCTACTTTATACTATTCAGTATTAATAAAGTTTTGATAAAAAAGAATCCTATTTTAGTTTTGATTTAAAGCAAATGGTCTGTAAAATCTAATTTGAATCTTTCCTTGGCAGTTGGATCTGTCTGATGCTGTCTACCTTTTGTCTTTTTTTATAATGGAAATGATCACACAATCTTTGTGGAAACCTACCCCTTCTCTGCCCTTTCTGCTGGGACTTGACCCTGCAAATACAATCCTCATCACTAAAGAAGCCTCACGTATGCTGTGGCACAAATAAACATCCTTCCTATAACAGGAAGAAGAAAACTTGGAAAGCATTGACATAGGATGTAGACCAACTGGGGTGTTCCTGCATCTGGCCAAATGGAGAGAAGTAAGATTGTATATTTCATGGCATCTGGCAAACTGTTTTACTCCCAAGCCATGAGCAATACAGAAACCCAGAGCTTTTCTACTTGGGAGAACTTCTCTCTCAATTCATAATATTGATGCTGATAGAATAATTGAAAATGAGGTATATTATTTTGATTTTGGTGTACAGAATTTAAACCAAAAAAAAACCATTAAAACTATATAAGGAACACAGAATTTAAATTTAAAAACCATTAAAACTTTATTAACTATAAATCTATGTTAGTGGGTATACAATATATAAAGATGTCATTTGTAACATCAGTAACATAAAGTGGAGTGGGATGGAATTGTAAAGGACTAGAGTTTGTGTATGTAATTGAAGTTATCAGCTTAAAAGAGAATGCCATAACTTTAAGATGTTTTATGAACATAATTGCAGTGGTAACCACAAAGAAAATATCTGTACAATATAAACAAAGGGAAATGAAAAGGCAGTCTAATCATGTCACTACCAAAATATCCACAAAACACAAAGGAAGGAAAAAGGAAAGGAAGAAGAAGAAAGCTATAAGACATACAGAAAAAAGTAACAAAATGGCAATAATAAGCCCTATCAATAATACTTTAAATATAAATGGATTGAATTCCCTAATCAGAAATAAATGGCTGGATAGATTAGAAAAACAAACAAATCAAGATACAACTGTATGCTTTCTACAAGAGACTAACTTTAGATCTAAAGACACACATAGGCTGAAGGTGGAAAGATAGAAAAAGATATGCCATGTAAATGAAAACCAAGAAAGCAAGAGAGGCTATACTAATACCAGACAAAATAGACTTTAAGACAGAAACTATTACAAGAGACAAAGAAGGACATTATATAATGATAAATGGGTCAATTCCCCAAGAAGATATAATAATTCTAAATATTTATGTACCAAATATCAGAGCCCCTAAATTTATAAAGCAAAATTTGACAGAATGGAAGAGAGAAACACATAGCAACACAGTAATAGTACGAGACTTCAATATCCTACTTTCAATAATGGGTAGAACAACCAGATAGAAGATCAATAAGGAAATAGAGGATTTGAACACTATAAGAGCAACTGGCCCTAACAGACATATACGGAATACTCCATCCAACAACAGCAGAATATACACTCTTCTCAAGTACACATGGAACATTCTTCAGGATAGGCCTTAGATTAGGCTACAAAACAAGTCTTAACAAATTGAATATATATATATTTAGTGTGTGTGTGTGTGTGTGTGTGTGTATACATACATATGTGTGTGTGTGTGTGTATATATATATATATATATATACACATACATATATGTATGTGTGTATATATATATTCTGATACTATCTACAGTTTCAGGCATCTACTTAGGGTCTTGGAACGTATCCTCCATGGATAAGGGGGAATAGAAAACTATAGACGAATATTCCTGAGGAATACTGATGCAAAAATCCTCAACAAAATACTAGCACACCAAATTCAACAGCACATTAAAAGGATTATACACCATGTATGACAAGATCTCATATGTAGAAAACCCTAACAACTTCACACACACACACACACACACACACACACACACACACACACTCTGTTAGAACTAATACATTTAGCAAAGTTGCAGTAAACAAAATCACATGAAAATCAGTTGTGTCTCTATACACTAATAATGAACAATAGGAAAAGAAAATAATTCTACTTACAATAGCATCAAAAAGAATAAAATAACTTAGGAATAAGCCTAACCAAGAAGGTGAAAGACTTGTACACTGAAAACTACAAAAAATGGCTGAAAGAAATTAAACGACACAATAAATGGAAAGATATCCATGTTCATCAATTGGAAGACAATATTAAGAAATCCATACTACCAAAGTGATCTACAGATTCAACACAATTCCTATCAAAATCCCAATGGCATTTTTTTATTTGATTTTTTTTTTTAACTTTATTGGGGAACACTTTTTCCAGGACCTATCAGCTCCCAGTCAAGTAGTTGTTTCAATCTACTTGTGGAGGGCGCAGCTCTGCGGCCCATGTGGGGATTGAATCAGCAACCATGGTGTTATGAGCCCGTGCTCTAACCGCCTGAGCCAACCGGCTGCCCCCAATGGCATTTTTTGCATAAATAAAAAATTCATCCTAAAATTCATAGGAATCTCAAGGGGCCTCAAATAGCAAAAATACTTTTGAAAAAGAAGAACAAAGTTAGAAGACTCACACCACTTTACTTCAAAACATAACACAGAACTACAGTAATCATACTGGTACGGTATTGCCAGAAAGACAGACATAATCCAATGGAATAGAACCCAGAAACAAACCCTTGCATATATGATCAAATGATTGTCAACATGTGTACCAAGACCACTCAATGAGGAAAGGAGAGTCTCTTCAACAAATGATGCTGGTTAAATTGGAAATCCACATGCAAAAGAATGAAGTTAGACCCGTATCTTACTTCACATACGAATATAAATTCAAGACAGACTAAAGACCTAAACTTAAGACCCCCAAACTCTAAAATTCATAAAAGAAAACATAGGGAGAAATTTCATGACATTGGATTTGGCAATGAATTCTTGGATATGACACCAAAACACAGGCAACAAAAGCAAAAATAGACAAATGGGACTACATTAAGCTTAAAAACTTAAAAGACAACCAGTCTCTGCTAAGGGGTTAATATCCAGAATATATAAAGAACAATTACTACAACTCAACAACAAAAGATCAAATAGCCCAATTAAAAATGGGTGAAGAATTTGAATAGACATTTCTCCAAAGATCATATACAAATGGCCAACAAATATGTGAAAATGATGTTCAACATCACTAATCATCAGAGAAATGCATATCAAAAGCACAATAAGATATCACCTCAGACCCATTAGGAAAGCTACTATCAAAAGAAATAGAAAATAACAAGTGTTGGTGAGGAAGTGGAGAAATTGAAACACTTGTACACTGCTGAATTGCAAAACAGTATAGCCACTACAGAAAACAGTATGGAAGTTTCTCAAAAAAATTTTTTAAATGTAACTACCATATGATCAAGCAACCCCACTTCTGGATATATATCCAAAATAATTGAAAGCAGGGATGAGGTATTTGCACACCCATGTTTATAACAGCACTATTCACAGCAGCCAAAAGATAGAAGCAACCCAAAAATATGCTACTATATACAAACGATAGAATATTATTCAGCCTTAAAAAGGAAGTGAATTCTGGCACATGCTACAACATAGATGAACCTTGAGGTCATTATGCTAAATGAACTAAGCCAGTCACAAAAGAACAAAAACTATGATTCCACTTATATGAGGCATCTAAAGTAGTCAAATCATTGAAAGAGAAAGTAGAATGGTGGTTACCAGGGGCTAGAAGAAGGGGGTGAGGGGGTAAGGGGAGTTGTTTTATGGGTGTAGAGTTGTTGTATTACAAGATAAAGTTCTAGAGATCTGTTACACTACTGAACTGTACACTTAAAAATGGTTAAAGTGGTAAATTTTTTAATTTTGTCTTTTTTCTAAAAAGTAAATTTTATGTTATGTGTTTTTTACAATAAAAGAAAAAACCTTGTAAACATAGGTGTAAAAATCTTTAACAAAAATATTACCAAACTAAAAAAAAAATAAAAATTACCAAACTGAGTCCAATAAGGTATAAAAAGGATTAAAAAAAAAAAAAAGAGGGCAGCCAGGTGGCTCAGCTGGTTAGAGCATGTGCTCTTAACAACAAGGTTGCCAGTTTGATTCCTGCATGGGATGGTGGGCTGTGCAACTAGATTGAAAAACAGCGACTGGACTTGGAGCTGAGCTGCGCCCTCCACAACTAGATTGAAGGACAACTTGACTTGGAGTTAATGGGTCCTGGAAAAAACACAGTTACCCAATAAAAAAAAATTTAAATAAAAATTTTAAAAAAGAAAAGAAATGGAGTTTTGGCAGATGCCAATTCACACACACTTCTATGAGGGGCTCCACAAGACAAAGAACCCTTCAAGTAAAAGAGGGAGTGCTGCCCTAGGTGGCAGCACTGCAGGGACCTCAGAAAGAATGCCACCAAGGAACACTACAGAGCCTGACTAAGCCCAAGTCAAGTCTGACTCCAGGGATGCTGAACTCCAGACCCCATTCCGAAGGCAAATGCTCAGATCATGGGCTACGCATTAACAGAAACGGGGATCCAAACCTGAGAGCTAAGGAAAAGCAAGGTTGACCAGGGGAGGTTGTGAGTACTGCTAAGAAATGACATTGGTGCTGCAGAGGGCTAGGTGTTCCTATGGAGGTTTCACAGATCATCCCAACCACAGTTCTCTCTGTATACAAGTAACAAATTCTCTGGGCTTCAATGTCTTAATCGGTAAAATAAGGTGATTAGTCCCTCTAACTCTGATAGTCAAAGAAGACTGAAATATGGATTCCGGACCCTTTAAATCGCACAGTTTTCACTTCTCTTTTGATTCCCAGATATGTCAACCCATGACATAGAGAATTAGTTATATCTTTACTGCAATGCATTTCATTCATCCATTTCTAACATACCTGGCGTGGAAGCTTGTTTAGTGACCTCAGATAGTCTTTGTCCAGAATACAATTTCCAAGTGCATTTCCAAAGCTTCTAAGGGTGAGGGAAAAAAGTAAAACAGGGTTGAGAATTGTTCCATGTAAATATCAGAGAACAGACTTACAACTTTGTGCGAGTTGCTTCTTAACTGCAGCAGAGAAAATGGACCCCGATATGCATTCAAAACTGTTTATTGAGCATCTGCCATGTTCCTGCGCTGATTTGGGATGTGAGGATACAGCATAACAGTCACAAATGCCCGTCTGCAAGGCCAGGCAACGAGCATGAAAAGACTAAGAAACCGTTCACAAAAACCCCATTAGCTCCCCCAACGTGGACAGAAAATTCCACAGCAGAGACTTTTGTCCGAGGACTGCTCCAATTCCCCACTAACAATAGGCAATACATACTTAGGGGCACAACCTCCAGGACTAAAGTTCTTTACTTGGGAAATACGCACTCCTCTGCAGGCTATGATATTGTGAATTTTTAGTGCATGTTTATACATGTATTTTTCTGGTGATTCAATTCACTTCAATCCTCAAAGGTATCTACGACCCCAAAAAAGGTTTAAAATACTGCTCTATGTAACTAAGTTACATATATACAATGAAGAAGTGCTTAGGTGTATTAACGAGAATGAGAAAGCTATCTATGGACTCATGTGGAAAGGTCTCCAAGATACATTACTGAGTAGAGAAGTCGGGAGTGCAAAATCAAGTGCAGAATAGAGAATTTGTTCTCTATTTGTTCCCAAAATGGGGAAACCTAAGCATAAGGAAGCACTGGGAAAATACAGGAGAGCAGAAAAACAGGGCAGACAGACAGGGGTGGGAGTGAGTCCCTTATTTGATTTTTGAACCGTGTGAGTGTATTACCTTTTCAAAAACACCCCAAGTTGCTTTGAGGCAAGCACTGAATGAAGCAGGTTAGGTTCCAGCCCTTGGGCTTACCTCAGTGCTCGCTTCAGCCCATCTGTCACTGCCTCCTTCCTCGCCTTCTCCAAAGACAAAGCTTTGGACTTGAGGCCCTCACTCACACCATAGCCCACATCTTCATGATATGAGCCATCCTGGGGGTAGAAAAAGGAGTTCAAAGTCTCACGTGAGAAGCTGCAGTTGTGTCTTTGGGGCCACAGCTCTTTTTTTCCTCAAGCAGCAGGGTTCAACCTGGACACATAGAACCCAGGGGTGCTGCTAAAGGGCACATGGGCACAGAGAGTGTAAGAGAATCAATTGCCAGTGCTATTTCCCAGACCTGATATGCCTGGAAATATGCCTGTGCTCAACATGTCAGATGACTCCCCTTCCCACTTCTTCTTTTACGTAAGAAATGCACATACCCACCCCATCCCAAATCCCACTACGGTGCATTACCCAAACTATAAAAACCTCTGGGACACCAGCTAAAGGAAAATTTGAAATACTGTATTTAACAGACACTAACGATTGGACAGCAAATCCTTTCGCAATTCAGGTGGTATCGGTTTCTTGGCTTTCACCAACAGTGAAGGTGGAGCTGATGATCAAGTTGTTAGCTTATAGAGAACAATATAATTTTTGATGCTAGCACTCTATGATTTTTGAAATATAACTCAGAAAGCATTTAAAGAAATGAATGACACCATACTAAAACTCTTTCCATTGCCAGTTTATGTGAATAAGGTTTTTCAGTACTATTTATAAAAATAAAAATTCACCATAGATTTAATGCTAAATGCTCTGTCTATGAATAAGTAACATTAAACTATGGATATATAAACTAACTGAAGAAAGCCATCTCATTAAGAAATGTATTATCCATAAAATTGTCTTTTTATTAAGTATAAAAATTCTGACGTAGTTATGTTGTCTCTTCCACATAAACACAACTGACTGATCAATTGTATGTTTATAATACCTGTGACAGTAACTCAATCCAGAAGAAATTTTTTACTATTTAGAAAAATATTTTTATTATTTAAAAAAAATTTTAATTTTATACACACATACACAGAGGCAGAGAAGTACAATAAGGTTATTAAGAAAAGATTTCAATAAATATATGGTATTAGGATAAAACCCAATGGAAAAATAGAATGGAACTATGAGTTCAAGAAGAAACAATGTAAAATTTCTTATAATTAAAGGATCGCTTGCTCAAAAAAAAATAATAATAATTGCTTGCTCATGTGTTTTTTTAAATAGATGACAGTATTTAATACTTTATGATATTTAGAATCATCTGGTACATTTAAAAAAGATAGATTTAGGCTGGCCGAGTGGCGCAATGGTTAAGAACTGGCTTGGGATGCCAGAGGGCCCCGGTTCAGATCCCACATATGAGGGCCAGTGACACTGCCCTCCATAGCTAAGATGCTGAACAACAGCTCAACCTGGAGCTGGGCTGCCGTGAGTCGCCGGTGACGGCGTAGGCTGCAGCCCCTGTGGCAGTGGGTTGCCATGGGCTACCGTGTGTAGCCAGCAGCCAGCGTAAGCAGCCAGCAGCCGCAGTGAGCGGCCGTCCAGAAGCCGGCGACTGATCTGCCTCGCCTGGGAAGAGCGCAATGATGGTGCCAACTTGGGCCAGTGAAGCAACATCCTCCACAACTAGACTGAAGAACAAAAACGACAGCAACTTGTCTGTTCCCCTTCCCCCAATTCCCCAGCGCTGTTCCCATCCCCCAATTCACCAATAAAAAATCTTAAAAAATAATAATAATAATAAAAAATAAAAAAGATTTATTTTAGAATGTCAAATTTTACAATATCCCTAAAAATGGTGAAAACTTTTAAGTGTCAACCTAAAAATGTGCAGAGAACAAGAGTTTTTCAAAATTCCTTCAATGGGCACACAAGTAAGAATGTCTGGCTGCCACCATCCTGAGAACACTGGCTGAGACAGAGCTCTGGGGCCCAGCTCTCCAGCTCTGTTGTTCCACAGTCCACAGACCTCCCTACCTGCGCCTTCCCTCTCACCAGCCTCTGATTCTTGGAGGCAGCAAGTCTATTCCATCACCCTCTCACCTTCAGCTGGACTCGCACAAACGCACAGACGCCCACGTAGAACTTGCCGTTGTTAAGGTCCACAAAATCTAGGGGCAGGAGAGAAAGCCAGTAGAAGATACTAATCCCTGTGCCTCACCCAGACTCTTTCTGCTGGCAACCAAACACACCTACCCCACATCTTCACCCACAAACTACTACTCATATCAGAAATTGGACAATGCCAAGGAAGGGAAATGAGAAGTCACCACTGCCGGAAAACACACTCACCCACATTCTGCTGCGTGATAGAATGCGCCCAGCCATTGTAACCAAACATCTCATTGGCCAGGTTAATTACCCTGTGACCCTCAATGTAACACACCTGGAAAAAACATTAAAGAAAAAAAGTACTTGTTACAATTTCTTGCCATACTTATATGTAGATCAAAATTTACTTAATTTATTCCTTACCAGCTTTTTTGGCAAAACTGCCCTTAAATATTCCAGGGAAATTCTCAGTGAACCTATTTCGAAGATCCTTCCTGAAGGAGCCAGCTAGAACAAATGTTCTATCTGGAGGGATTAGACTCAAAGGGGAAAGAAACTCACCTAGCAGTTTCCAAAAAAGTACACATCTCAGGTTGACATGTGTTATAGAAGACCAAAAACATACAGAAAAGTTAAAATTAGAAGCAAATGGCAAGAAACCCATTTTTAAAAGATTGTGCAGAAATCCTATGATGGCAGGTATGTAAGTCTCAAGACAAAGCTTGGGTTGCTTCAGATGACAATAAAGGTTGGAACCCATCCCCTCCCGAAGACACTAGGAAACATCCAGCAATAGTGAACAAGAGACCTGAATCCAAGAGGTCCCGGAGAGGGAGTTGGCATGACCATCTGAAAAATCGGCCACCTGGGCACCACTGTGAAGGTCCCTAAGCTCTCCTACCTTCTGGCCTCCTCCAGCCATGCGGCTGCTTATGTACTCTGGGCCCAGCCTTCGCCTCAAAGCATTCTGGATGGCCTGGTACTCCTCTGCTGCATACTGGTACTACGAGCCAAAATGAGAAAATTAAATCAACATTTCTTCCATGGTTTTACATCAGCCAATCTCCAACGCTGTGGTCTCCACACCCTTTTCCACTTTTAAAAAGTATTGAGGACCCTAAGAGCTTTCGTTTATGTGGGTTATACCTATCAACATTAGGAACTAAAACTGAGGAACTTGTAAGGTATACACTCCACTAGCCACCAGAGCACTGGCATCAGCACAGGCTGTGCAGTTTCTGGAAAATGCCACCATTCACTCATGAGAGAATGAGAGTGAAAAGAGCAAGTAGAATTTTCATATTATTATGAAAATAAAGTCCTCACACTCTGAAAAAATTGCATGGATTTCCAGGGGTCACTGGACCACATTTTGTGGACATTGCCTTAGATGTTACTACCATCCTTACAGAAACAAACTTCCCACCTCTGAGTATGCCTATGACATTTACGCAGGAAAGGGAGTAGGGGACATGAAACATGACAGGGACTCTTCCTTCCACTGACCTCTCCAAAACTCTGCAGCTCTTCTCCAATTGAACAACTGCCCATCCTACACAGATAAATGTACTACTACTTGTTTGGATTTTTGTCCCCTTGGTAGTTTTCCTCTGCTCCGTTTAAATGAAATAGATACAAAGACATCTCTGGTAAAGACAAAGACAGAATTTGGGTGGACAAAGCAAGAACCTCTGTTACATGCACAAGATATCTCCACAAAGAATATGACACCAGAAACTTTGGATGCCTCCGAGAGAGAGAGAACTGGGTGAAAGGTGGACAGGACTGATAAGGAAATAGTGAGACTGTTCACACGTAGTCTTTGTTTTGTTGTGAATGCTATGTCATATGAGTATGTAATCTGTTCAGAAACTAAGTAGAATTTAAATTCCCATTACTACTAGTCTTTTGATGCTAAAGTTCCAAAATGCCCTGAGAGTGCATCAAAGACTCCCAAATAATGCATCTAAAGGAAAAACTAATAACAATAAATAGCTGACATATGTGTATATGACGAGCTCTACAAATTGCTTCCTCATACGTTTTTCACTTAATCTCATTCTTTAGGTGTGAAAAAACGAGTTACCTGTCCAAAGCATAATACAGAGTTGCCTCCAGCAGCAGCAGGATGGCTGTCATGGCTTCCAAGAATTGCTTCCTCAGTCCCAGACATGTTCATTCTGGCTGACCTCTGCACAAAAAGAAGATTTAAAAAAAGATGTCCAAGGGGCAGGTCGAGTGGCACATTGTTTAAGAGTTTGCTTGGGAAGCCAGCTCTGAGCAGCAAGACCCTGGTTCGGATCCTACATGAGGGCCATTGATGCTACGCCCTCTACAGCTAAGATGGTGAACAACAGCTCGACCTGGAGCTGGGCTGCCGTGAGTCACTGACAACAGCGTAGGCTGCAGTGGGGCTGGCCAGCAGCGGGCGTGAGCTTTCATGAGCTGCTGTGAGCTGCCGTGAGCAGCCGTCCAATGAGTGACTGCCTCACCCGGGAAGAGCGTGATGATAATACCAACATGGGCCAGTGAAACGACGTCCTCCACAACTAGACTGAAGAACAAAAGGACAGCAACTTGTCTGTTCCCCTTCCCTGATCCCCCAATGTTGTTCCCCTCCCCCAATTCCCCAGTAAAATTTTTTAAAAGATGTCCAAGAATGCTATGGTCCAAACGTCTAGTAAAAATCAGATAAAGCGTGCATATGCAATATCCTGCAAGTCACTTTATTTACATAATTCTAAACACTGTCCCCTTCAAGGGACTAAGTTCCTCAGTGCTTACAGTACCTATAGTCTCAGAGCCCCTGAAGATCCGTTAGAGGCTGCTTCAACTTCTCTGCTAAAATTTTTGCTAGGGTGACAGTGCTATTAATGGTGATTTTGACAGTGAGAATGTATTATATATTACAATTATAATGTTTATAAATGAAAAAGTCAAAATTACAAAAACACTCTAATGACAGCCAACAATCAACTATATGTACAACGTGACCCTGACCTCTGTGGGGTCGACAAAGAAATGTAAGCCACAGCAACTGTTTGCTAGGAGCTAACAATCTAGCTGGTGGGAGAAGACTAACAGACAAAACAATTCAAGAGTAAGAGAAGGCAATTCAGAAGACCCCTAACATTCAGGAATAATAGAGCACTTGCCCAGTTTGGTCCACTGTAGCAGCAGCAGCATCTGGGAACATTGTTAGAAATGCAAATTCTTGGGCTCCACCATAGGCCTACCGAGTCAGAAACTGGAGGTGAGGCCTGGGAATTAGTGCTGCGCCTCACAATCCCACCAGGTGATTCTGATGCAAGCTCACGTTTGAGAACCAGCGTACTAGGCTGAGACTATGCAAATTTATAGTCCATTAGAAAAGAGAATTACATCAGAAAAAGCACCTGCAACTGAGCAACCCCACCACCTGACTACTCCTACACCTGTCTCAAATCAGATTCAAATGTGATGCCTCAGCAAACTTACATGCTGCAAATCTTCGGGTTATTTGCTAATAGAACTACAAATCTATGAGTGTCCAGAAGTATGATTCTCCACAATATAGTGTTTAAGAGCTCAAGTTCTAAATGTCAATTTCTGGCTCTATCACCAACTAGGTACTTGACCAAGGGGGAAACAAAATCACATAATCTCTCTAAATGATGTTTTCTCTTGTAGAAAATGGAGATAATAATAATGCCTACATTCCTAGGGGTTCTGTAAAGATTCATTTAATCTTTATTAACCCATGAAACTGCATTAGAATAGTGCCTGGCACATGTGAAATACAAAATAAATGTTAGTTATTCTAAGTTCATGTTAATTTCCTTATGTACATTATGATGAAAACACAGAAAACTAAAGGATCATAAAATACTGCATGTCAGCTTAGAATAATAAATTTTTTATAACATAGCACTAAAAGTAGGATAGTGGTCTAAACTAGGTTAGTCAATAATTAGGATCTAAAATTGATAAATCAATAAATAATGGAATAAGGATATTATTTAGAATGTAACTGTAAATGCCAGAAAAGAAAGCTAAAAGAATGTAACATGTCTGCCTCTGAGGAGTGGCACTGGGATGGAGAAGAGTGAAGCAGGAATTTCCTTTTGCAAAATAAAGCTTTTCGCGCTATTTCATTTTCAAATATGTACATGTGTCATTTTAATAAAAAAAAAATGTGAACACCTATTCCATCAAGCAGGGGCCACAAACTTCTTCTGTCAAGGGCCAAAGAGTAAGTATTTTAGTTATTGCAGGCTATGTGGTTTCTGTCATTAACTACTCAGCTTTGGCATTTTAGCATGAAAGCAGCCATAAAACAATAGGTAAATGAACAGCTTGGTGTGTCTCAATAAAACTTTATTACAAGAAGAGGTGGCAGATTCGGCCCACAGGCCACCATGCCAACCCCGGCTATAAAGCATGCTCTGAACGTTACAGTCAGGTGTGGTTCAATATCCAACTCCATCAGGTAAGTTACTTACATGGGCAATTACTTAACCTCACTGTGCCCCAATTTCCTCACTTGCAAAAGGGAATATGAATAAGATCAACCTCATAAACTTTTCATGTTAAAATGCTGTGATCATAACAGCATCCTGCAAGACTCTTGAACACTAAAAGTTGTTGGGGAACAAGATATTCACAAAGTCTCAAATGAGCACCGGTCCGATTATTTGTTAAAAACAAAGGGGTATAATTGTGAATGTACTTAACGCCACTGAACTGCTTGCTTAAAATGGTTAAAATAAATGTTATATTATGTATATTTTACCATTATAAAAAAAAGGAGGGGGAATAGCTTAACACAATAAAGGTTTCTATCTCATTCATGCAAGATCTAATGTAGTCGGGTGGCCTTATCCATCTTGTAGCTGTGTCATCTAGCACACGTGACCTCCAAGGTCATTGTGGCAAGGGTAGAGAGAGTTGAAGGAGTCAAAGCTGCCTTAGGGCAGAAGTGATCACTTCTGTCAAGTGCACTGGACAGAAGATGTCCCACGGCCCCAGTTTAACTGCAATGGAGGCTGGTAAATGTAAGAAAGCATTTGAATATATTTGGTGAGTACTATCTCTGCCACATCCATTTCCCCCCACTCCATATGAGCCCCTAGAAGCGGGGGGATTCTTCCTGATTCATTTTGGCATCCCCAGAGAGTTATTCATAGTAGGGGTTAGGGATGGAGGTATTTGGTTAGTAATTAAATGAATAGATGAGTGAATGAATGAAATACATAATCCAGGATTTTTTTTTTTAATTGGGGAACAGTGTGTTTTTACAGGACCCATCAGCTCCAAGTCAAGTAGTTGTTTCAATCTAGTTGTGGAGGACTTGTTACCAAAGAAGGGCTGGCTACCTTGGAAATGTACCCTTGAACTGACTTGACCTTCCATGTCTCCTCAATCGTCTCTCCCCTCACTTCTGCTCCCTGGAATTACATGTCCTGAAAAACAGTAGCACATAAGCTTTTGCCTCAAGCTCCAGGTTTGGGGTACCCAGGTATAGCAGACACCATGGATGCTCTGCCAATTATGCCTTCAGCTCTTATCCCAATAGTGCACCATGGCCTAACTTTCAAATGCCAACACCTGCATCTCTTTACCTGAAGGCTTCCTTTGGCAACCAGGGCCCACTGAGCACCTGTTATGGTAAGCTGGAAGCCCAGAAAATTAATGTGCCTGAGAGCAGCCCTCAAACAGTGAATGGCCGGAGTTGGTGTGTAAAGACCCTAGATTTCTTACCCATTCTGTGAGATAATGCTGAGCCAGGAGTTCTGCGCTGGCTCCAGAGTTCCCCAGTACAGTTTGGTTGCCCACCAATGGTAGGTAATGGGCTTGATGACACACCCTTTGTTAAATGCCTTTTCTTTCCCATCTGACTTCCCCTCTCCTCTACTAGTACGTCCTGGCGTCATTTCCTAAATAAACTACTTGCACTTGGAGGAAAAGTGTGTGTGTGTGTGTGAGGGGGGGCAAAAATATCTTTACAATGGAGAAATCTGGCAGATAACCACCCTAATTAAATAATCAAACTTAATTATTTAATGTTAATTATTTAATGGTAAAATTAAATAATGTTACCAATATCAGTCATATCATGTGCTTCCTGACAGATGCACTGAGAAGGTCACAATATCACTTGAGTATTTCTAACAATCTAATCATGACTCCAATTATAAGGAAATAATCAGACAAGTTCAAATCTACAAGGCCAAGACTCTTCAAAAGTGTCAATGTCTCAAAAAACAAAACAAAGTAAAACAAAAAGGCTAGTGAACTTTTCTAGATTAAAGAAGACTAGAAAGACATGACAACTAAAATGCACTGTGTGATCCTTGATAGGATTTTAGATCAGAAAAAAAAAAGCTATAAAGGACTTTATTGGAACAATGGGGAAATCTGATGGTGGACTACATATTAGATGCTGGTATTTTATCTCTGTTAAGCTTATTGAGTGTAATAATTATGGTTATGTAAGGGAACAATCTTTTTATTAGGAGATATATGATAAAGTATTAAAGTGGCATGTTTTCTGCAATGTACTCTCAAATTATTCAACTAATAAAATTGTGTGTGTATGTGTATGCAAGTGCACACACGTGTGCAAAAAGGGGGAAAACATACAGTAACAAATTTGTGTATCTAGTTGAAGGATATGCAGGTGTTCATTGTATAAGTTTCCTGAAGGCTTCAACTTTTTCAAAATAAAATGATAGGAAAGACTTCCTGATAGCCAAGGAAGGTTATAGCAGCTACATAAATCCAAATATCCTAATACATCCTCCAGAAACCACACAGACCAACAAGAACAAGTAAAGCCAAATATATCCCATATCTCCTAACATAAGAAAACTGAAAATACTACAAGCTTTAAATTGCCTGGAAGTAGAAAAACTAAACATCAATTTCCGGTGGCGATATTTCTCAAACTCTCATCCCAACTCTTTAAGGAGAGAGCAAGGTGGGAAGGGAAATGCCTAGAAGAGAGAAGAGGAGGATGGCGAGCCTAAGTGGAACTATTGTAAAATCATGCCTGGAAAAAGAAAACCACACTACATATGAAGATACTGACAAAGAGTTCTGGTAGCCCAGAGCAGTCTAGGAAAAAAAAGAGAGGAGTGTATGCAGAACTCAATGAGGCAGTCTTGGAAAGTCAGTGTTCCTGGGGAGGAGACTGAAAAGGAATGAGGGATGTCCTCTAAAACTGTTCTGTGAAGGGCAAATGAGGGAAAATTTAGGATCCTGTAACAAGAGAAAATTTAAAAGTCAAAGGACATACAACCATCTCTCCAAAAAAGTCTTTTAATAAAGAAGCCATACTCACCATATTTACAAAGTAATAAGACCTACTCTTGAACCAAGCAGCTCATAAATCATCCCAACTGTCAATCCTGTTCACAAAATGCAAAGTTATAGATTAAAATAAAAAAGACAGTGAACTTGAAGATAGTTCAATAGAACTTACACAATCCAAAGAAACGGGGGCAAAAAAGATTGAAAATAATAAAAGGACCTAGTGGTTCTGTGGGATAATATCAAAATGGCTAACACGCATACAACTGAGGTCCCAAAAGAAGAGGTTAAAGAGAATGGGAAAAAATATTTTAAAAAATAATGGCTCAAAATTTCCCAAGTTGGGTGATTGGCATAAATGTATACATTTAAGAAGCTCAGGGCCGGCCAAGTGGCTCAGTTGGTTAAGAGCTTGCTCAAGAGCATGAGCTCTGAGCAACGGGGTCACCGGTTCGATTCCCTGCCTGAGCTGAGCTGCTGCTGAGCTGCCAGCAGTCAGAGAAAAATGGCACATTATGTATATAGTAACAACAAGAGTTAAAAAACAAACAAATAAAAAAAATGGAGTGTGGCTGGCTCACGTAGCGCGTGCACTTTTACCTTGGCTCTGCGGCGCTCACAGCGCTTTTCGCCAGTGTGGCTGGAGTCACTGCTAAGAGGGCCACGGTTTAAACGTGAGTGGAGGGGACCAGTGATTGGCTGGGCCTGGAACCATGGATGTGGGCAAACTTCTGAGCTACCAGGTATGAGGGACGAGAGAGCTGGGGAACCGTACTCTCACTCAGACAGGGATGGCAGGTTGCAGTACCCGAGTCCCTTCATCTCACCTCCTCTTATCTCAGCCCAGGGCCCGGGTCCCCTGACTTCTCATGCCACCGAGGTCCGAGCCTCTCATTTCACTTCATTCCCTCTCGAGACCCTCCTGGTCTCTTTCAATTCATTCCTTCTTAAAACTCGAGCCCCTTCTTCTCAACTCCAGTCCAGGCCCCTTCTCACCCTACCCTAGGGCCTGGTCCTTTCATCTCTTCTGAAGGCCCCAGACTGGCTTCACACCACCCACCTTCATCTCCCTTCTCCCCCTGCCATTGAGTTTGCGGATGCAGTGATGGGAGAGCGAGCACGGGTCTTTCTTGCATTTGAGCCCCAGCTTCTCCACTGACTGGCTTCATGGCTTTTGGAAGGTCATTTAGCCCTCTTTGAGACTCAGGTTTTGTATATATATAACATGGAGAAAGTAATAACAATCTAGGATTGTTTGAGGACTCTGTCAACTAGTGGATGTGAAAGCTGATTTAAAGTGTGGAAAGCTGTAACCATGTAAACTGCAGATGTTGGGAGATGTTTGGAATTCTAGCAAGGAATCTTATCCCCCTTGTTCAGGGTACTTAGGGGGAAACGGTGGCCCAGAGGGCAGAAAGGACTTGTCCAAAGTCACTCAACAAGTAAGAGCTGGGATAAAGAGATGGCTCCCAGCTCATAAATTTTCCTCTTTTAACTTCTTATAGAGGCTGCTTGTGCATGGCACTAGAGCTGTTCTGTCCAATACTGTAGCCACTACCCACATATGGCGACTGAACACTTGAAATGGGACTAGTCTGAATTGAGAAGTACTAGAACTGTAAAATCACACTGGATTTCAAGACTCGGTATGAAAAAAGAAAAATTTTTATATTGACTACATGATCATATTATATCAATGGCATTGAGTATTGATCATACTGATTAAATAAAGGATCACTGTGGATAATGGGTGAAATATAGTTAAAATAAAAAAGGAGCAAATTTAACAAAAGATGTGTAAGACCGCTACACTGAAAACAAAACAGTATTAAAAGAAATTAAAGACTTAAATAAAAAGGGAAATGTACCATGTTCATATATTTGAAGACTCAATACTGTTAAGATGTTAATTCTTTCAAAATGAATCTAAAGATTCAATGCCAACCCAATCATAAGCCTACCATTCTTTTGAAGAAACTGATGATTCTAATATTTATATGGAAAATGCAAAGGCTCTAAATTATCCAAATCAACCTTGAAAAACAACAACAAAGTTGTTGACCTACACCACATGACTTCAAGACTTACGATAAAGCTACAGTAAATCAACAGTGTGGTACTGACATAGGATTGATCAATGGAACAGAAAAGAGAGTCCAAAAATCAACTGACATTTTATACAGTCATCTGAATTTCAATAAAGGTACCAGTGCAATACAATGGCATTTTCAACAAATGATGCTGGGACAACTGGATATCTATATGGGGAAAATATTATTTTTCACAAAATACTGTTTATACCATTTACAAAAACTAGAGATGGCTCATAGGCCTAAATGTAAAAGGCCTATGTAAAACTATAAAATGTCTAGAAGAAAATATAGAAGTATATCTTCACAACCTGGAGGTGGCCAAAACTTCTTAGACAATACTCAGAAAGCAATAACTATAAAAGAAAGATAATATGACTACATGAAAATGTAAAACTTTGCTTATCAAAAACAACTGTAAGAAAATGAATAGGCAACCACAAAGGACTGATATCCAGGATATAAAAAGGATATATGAAGAACTCATACACTCAGTAATAAAAAGACAAATAGCTCAATTTAAAATGAGCAAAAGATTTGAACAGGCATTTCACAAAGGAAGATATACAAATGATAATAAGCACAAGAAAAAGCGCTCAACGTCATTATAATAAAGAACTAAAATTAAAATCATGACATACTGCTCTTACACCCACCAGAATGGCTAAAAATAAAGATTGACAACAACACAAATTGGCAAGGATGTGAAGCAATTAGGACGCTCATACACTGCTGGCAGGAAACGGGGATAAAACTACTCAGCTGTAAATACATGCTACCTTTCATGAAAAGGGAATAACTTGAAGATGAGCCATCGGTCCAGAAGGTAGAGCGGCAGGCCACAGAGCATTAGTCCCTGGCCTTGAACCCTAATGGTTCTTTATATACCTTGGATACCAGCCCTTTGTCAGATAGGTGTCAGTGCTTGCCCATTCATTTTCTTAAGTTGTCTTTGATGAAAGTTTTAAATTTTAATGTAATCCCCTTTATCTTTTTTTTAAGTGGTTATTGCTTTCTGAGTCTTGTCTAAGAAACCTTTTGCACACACCTAGGCCATGAAGATATTCTGTATTTTCTTCTAGAAGCTTTATATTTTTATAATTTTGGAACTAGATCTGATAATTTCTTTAGAAATTAAATACACATCTGCCATGTGACCCAAGAATTCTTCTGATAGGTATTTTCCCCGAGAAATAAAAACAAATGACCAAGACAAGGCTTGTGGGGGGTAAAGGGCAAGAACTTCAGCTAGGGTAGTGGGAGTGAGCAAGAAATAGATGAATTCAGGAGATATTAAGATGGTAAACAAGACTGGGAAATATCTTTATTCTTATCCATTTCCTTATTACCTAAAAGCATTTCTAATTATATGTGGAGGGAGGAAGAAAGGAATAAGAGGGAACGCGGCATGTTATATAAGGAAATTTTCTTCTTTTGTCCGACCTCTTCTCATCTTTATTAAAGAAAGGAGAGGGGATGATCATGAAGGGTAATAGAAGCCACCTTTAAAAGCTTAGAACTTTAGTTTGTAAGCAATGGGGGAGCAATGGAAATTTTAAGCTGAGAATGATAAGATTATATTTAAGCCTCAGAAAGCTCTTTGTCAACAGTGAATAACTGAGAGATCAGCTAGGAGTCTATATTACAACAGTCCAGGGAGGAAATGCTAACAGTTCAACTAAGGTCACGGAAATGTAGAGAAAAGATGGACTCTTGAAATGTATTACAGGAGACAGAACTAAAAGGACTCTGTGACAGGTGGTTCTAATTGTGAAGATCAAGAACAACAGGACTGCATATCAAGGGTGTATTTTTACATTTTCTTTTCTTTTATGTATATGCTGCTATAATTTTTGTGATACTTTCAAAAAAATTTTAGCAACAGAATAGAAAAAAAATCTTTTCTAAGTAAAAAGAAGGAAATAGATCTCAAAATGTCACCTCCTCTTCGAAGCCATATGAAAGTCACTACACTCTAAATAGAATTAATCCTATGTTCCCATAGTATTTTAGACATACGTCAAAGCATATATCACACATAATCCTACCTCACCCATTCAAGAACAGAGTGGCCATGTACTAACTAAATCTCCGGCCCTTAACCTAATCCCTACCAGCACACAGTATAAACAGCATTTTAGTTTTACTTTTAGCTTCTCTCCACTTCAAATCTGCCACTAGTCGGCAAACGTTTGAGATGGAAGAGACGCCAGGGTCAGCAAACTGTGGCTCGTGAGCCACAGGCTCTGAAGTAAAATTGAAAATGAAAATAAAACTATCATAGTTTAATTTATACAGTTTTTAAAGGATGTTATTCACATAATGGTGATTATGTAAAAATATATTTATGGCTCTCGAATACTTTTTAAATTGTTGTAATAGACAGAATTGGCTCTTCCAGGGGTTGGCAAACTTTTGAGACGGAACGTACCCAAAGAGCCACATGTGGCTCGCAAGCCACAGTTTGCCAACCCCTGCACCATGGTATTAAAAAGGAATACCTTGAGTGGAAAATGTTAAAAGTTATAGAGATTTAAAAATATCCACACTAGGCTTTCTGCCCTTGGATAATTAAATTGGTTATAGTCAATTCTCGTTATTCATGGTAGTTATGGTCTATAAAGTCATCGTGAACACTGAGTTATCAAATACTAAACCACTGATCCTAGAAATACAGAGGTAGGTTCCTGCGAGCCTCTGGTCACAACATTTTCACCAATACATAACCTTGTTTTATGGGTGTTTCTGTTTAAAGACACCTTACTTAATATACAGAGGGTGCCCAAAAAATGTATACATGTTTTAAGAAAGAAAAAAAATTAAAATTGTAATACTATATACCAATAGCAACAGATGAATAAAAGTCATGTGTATACATTTTTTTTGGCACCCTCGGTATATTGTTGATTCATTAACACTGAACTCACGACTGAACAACGCTTATTTAAAAGAACTTGTCTTTATAAGGCACATCACAGGCTTCTTGCACAGGAAGACCAGACAGCACTTCAGTGCTACACCTGGAGGCATTCTAAACAGTGAAATCTCTAACCAAAAAGCACAAAATATGGAACAAACAAAACAAAAAAAGTGGCACTAAGTGCACCGTGACAAGGACACTTATTTACAGTATGAGAGCAGAGTAGCCTTGTTTAATCTCAACTGGGAACAGACACGTTTGGGCAACTCAAATTTTCAGCACTCTGCACATTTGCAAAGGCATCCTGAGTACAAAGAAATGTTAGAGAGTAGGTGCATTTGCAAATACAGGCTCCACGAATAAAAGGATTGACTGTAGGGGGGTTTTGTTGTTTTTAAGGTAAAACCGCTTTCCCACAGCTATCTCAGCTACATTTTAATACACTCATCTCCAGCTACACCCAGTTCGTATCGTGACAACAGGTCATGGCATACATTACACAGTAGCATCTGAGGAGAGATGCCCAGAAACATTTGTCTGCTTGTGACCACAATTAATGGTCTGATAAGTGCAGAACCGAGAATAGAAGACTTTAAAAAGACAAGCTTCTCTAAGTGATACCAGACCTGAGGAACGACCTGACCCAATCCCAGAGTTAAATTCTGCCTTTGAGAATTTAGTTTTCAAATGTTTGCACCTCAGACAGAGTTCTGTGGAGGAACAGACCTTAAAAGGGCTAGGAAGCTAAAGAGTGGAGAAAAACCAAAAGTTCATCAACTAACGGAGAAACAAAATGTGGTCTATCGGTACAACTAATGTTATTCTTCAGCCATCAAAAGGAGTGAAGCACTGACACACGCTACAGCATGGATGAGCCCTGAAAACATTATGCTGAGTGATGTAAGCCAGATACAAGGGGAAATACCGTATGATTCCACTTATGTGAAATATCTAGAACTGGCAAAATTATCAAGACAAAAAGTTAGGGGCAGGGGGGAATAAGAAGTGGGTTTCTTTTGGGGGTGATGAAAATGTCCTGGAATTAGATAATGGTGATGGTTGCACAACCTTGTGAATATAATAAAAACCACTTTATTGTTCATTTTAAAGGGATAGATTTAATCATATATGAATTGTATCTCAAGTTTTAAAAAATAGGTCT